CCTACCTCCCCCCCCCCCCCCACACACACACACACTACACACAAGTTTACAGGGCTATGGGAATACTCTTAACCATAAGAACTCAAAGAGTGAGGAAGCAAGTAGACACTATGGGCTGTTAAAAGTATTGAAGGACAATACTGCTATTATGTAGCAAAACATAAACAGATTATCAACATCAGAGCCATTTATTTTTCAGCTTACATTTCTGATACATTCAGATAGCAGCTGTCTTAAAATGAAATACTTAAAAATGAAATACAATGTATTATGTACCAACATTTATGCACATGCAAGATATGTAGACATCCTCCATATATTTACATAACGCATAGAGGTACTAGGTAGGTGGTATACATGCTACATTTACAAGAGTTGCCTGACCAAGAAATTACAAACACACCCCCTCCTTGTCCTCTCTACCCACAGATAGCCCTGGGAATCAATTCCCCAAGAATTGTCCCTCTCAGTGACTCTGCTTCTTACTTTGCAGAGTACCATGGTCATGTCATTCTGAGGTCAGATAACATGTATAAAATTAGCTTCTATGTATCTATACCATTTAAAGAATATTTTTCTCCAGAAAAAAGGGAATATTACAATGTTCGAGGAGAGATGTTATAGGGAGCCATATTTCAAAATTTGGTTCAAGATTCCAAAATCCAATTGATTGTGGTAATTTTAATTATTGTCATCGTGTGCTTGTTCATTCAGTGTTAATGCACTTTTCACAGTTGGACATGGTGTTAGTATAGTCAGACGGGTTTCATTATTATTCCTTTTTGCTTCCTCAATGTTAATTTATTGCATGGTTTATTCTTTTTTTCTTTACAGTTGAAATTGCTTTAAATGATGGTTAAAGATACAAATTAAAATGTTAATTTCTATCAATGTGATTGTAATTAAAATATTTTGATTTAAATAATGAAAATAAATTTTAAGCCGTGGCACATGTTCTTGATCATTTGCAGTTAAGGACTTTAAATAAATCAAATGTTAACAAAAAGTATTTTTGTTATTTTCCTTAATTAAATCCAAAATAGATAATCTGAATATGATATTTTTCAAAGTCTGGCACTGAATATAAGTGACAAAAAGGAAAATAATCTAAAACAAAATTGTTTTGTGAATGTTTATTATAGGAACATGTAGTTAGTAAAAAAAAAAAGTTAAAGAAATTCAATAAAACTGGATAGATAAATTGATTTAATATCCCAAGAATTGAAATTAAGATTCTTTATTTTCAGTAATGTTTACTTCAATTTTTGACATGGGCTTAAATCTACTATGTTTCCTTTGAGATCTACCAGTGGATCATGGACCTCTTTGAAATTAAATACACAATTAAAATAAACTGAAATAAATACAATTAATTTAACCTTCCTTCCTTCCCAAGATACCATTTTCCTTTATCTGAAAAGTATTTGAATGAGAATAAAATATCAGATGTGGCTGTTAAAATTAAGTTGTCTGCAACAGAGAATCCTGAATCCTCTTTACATTAAAAAGAGAAACAAAACTTAACCATCATGGTAGCTTTGCAGGGGACAAGGAAGGCCAGCTAATTCACTCCTGCAGGGGAAGCTTTGTGCCAGCAGGCCGTTTCACTAGCTGTTGTTTTGTGTTGTGTGAAGATATTTTTAAAATATTGTTTCTAAAAAATATTGTTCCTGAGAACGTAAAGCCGATGATTTCTTTGCCTTCTAAGAAGCTTTAAAATGCAACTTCACACCCCTACAGTTGCTTGAGATCACCAAATCATTAATCTCCTTTGATAGTAGGCTCACTTTCCAGTCCACCTATTTCTTTGTAAGCCTTGTTAGGATTGACATCAACAATAACAACACCAGCCCAAGCAGAGGCTGGCCTGCCTGAGGCCTTGTGTGTGAACCCCATCGTGGCCAGGGCTTGAACTTGGACAGCCTTTACTTTGATCGCCCCACTCCACACAGAGGACAAGATAAAAAGAGCTGTGTGAGTCCCTTAATTGTCGAGTAATTGCCTCCCCAGATGAGAGAAGGGGTGCCATGCAGCACTTGAGAAAAATCCAGAAATCCCAAAACCCCCGCTCACACCTCAGCTAATGAAAGGAGGAGAGGGAAATTGCTGGTTTGAGTAATTTCAAAACCTAATTTGGAGGCCGGGGAAGGACACTAAAGGTCCAAAGAGGATAAAGCTTTCAATCCCAACATGTATTTATATTTAGAGAGCGGGTAAACAGACGTTGGCAAATTTGAATTCCAAATGTAATATAAGGGTGAGCTTGGGCCTCGGGATTTTGTCCGGCCGCACGGAATCTAACCCGTTTGCGAGCGTCCCCTCCGTGCAGCTCCCTGCCCTCTCTCTGCGGGACAGGGTCTACGTTCTGCCCGCACCCCGGTGGGAAGGCGGCTCAGCTCGCTCTCCTCCTGGGCGGAAACTTTCTACGGGCTTCGGGGCGAGAAGCCTCGGGCTTCAGGCTCGAGGCCACTTTGGGGACCTGCCTGGAGCTAGAATGGCGGGTCTCGCCTCGGGGCTTCTCCCTGGGTTTGCGGCCGCCTCTGGGCACCTTCCGCCCGCTCCGCCACCCCCGGGCGTTGCCATCGGGTCCCGGCGCGTTAGGACTCGCGCGCGCCGGGCCGGGCCGGGCGGCCGGTTGCCGGGAAGGAGGGCCGAGCAGGACCACAGCATCTCGAGGTGACGGTGCAGTTAGTCCCTCCTTGTGTGGGCCTTCTCCCCTCCTGGCGAATGAAGCTGTTGAGCCCAAGACTTAAAAGTCAACAAAGAAGGCCAGGCCCGTCGTGCCGGCTCTAGCGGCCCCGACGCCCGCGTCTGCGCGGCCGCCCCCGCCGCGTAATCCTGTCCTCGGAGACCCAGACCCACCGCCGCCGCCGCGCCCGGACCGGGGACAGCGGTGGCTCCGGGGGTGCCGGGACCCTCCTCGCGCGCACCGCTTCCCGCGACCCGCTCCCCCCTTTTCCGTCGAGCTTCGGTGTTTCTTCACCAAGGATGCTCCCGCAGACCAGGGCCCGAAAGGGGGTGCGGACCGCACAGCCGCGGGGCACCGGGCTGGCTCTATTTAGGAATTTCGCCCGGGGTGGGGGAGGGGTCCCCGGGGGAGGAGGGAGGTGGGAGGGAGGGAGAAGGGAAAACCTTGCAACACACCCAAGTGCAAAAAGCTCCGGAGGCCCTCAGATCCGCAGACAACGCTGCGGAGCAAACATTCAGAAAAAAGAAAAGTGTGCTAGGAGTGAGTACAGTGCCTGGAAGGAAACTTCAAATGTTACTTTCACCTTGTTCCAGGCCTGAAACATTTTTTAAAAAATTGATAAAGCGAAAAGACAACTAAATATAGATAAGGAAAAAGAAAAGCTCACCAGTTCAATTCAGCAGAAACTACACGACTTAGAAGTGTTCCCAAGTAGAAGGCAGCTCAGTCTGTTTCCTACATTATGGCAAATGCAGTGTTTAAATCAAGGAAGAAATTTAACTTACATTGTCCTCCATGGTCCCCTCATAGCAGAATGGACTGGTGAGAATTGTTATGGGAGGAAGGATTAAACAAACAAAATCCTATTAAAGTTCTTAACTTCTGTTTTCATTTTCTGCCGGCCAGATACCCAACTGATTTCCCTGAAAGTAGAAAAACATTGCGTTTTTACAGGACTCGAACAGATTTGAATGAACCGTAGCACAAAAGTATTTTTGGAGTGACAAAATTTTACCTCGTTGTTTTGGCACTTTAAAAAGTTGATCTCAATTCCAGAAAAATGCTTATTAAATTTCTTTATAAAAACGTCTCCAATCAATACAAATTCCATTCGATGCAGACTAAAGTAGGAGACCTGTAGCCTAAATTAATTAACCTTTCCTCAAGATCAATTGGTTTTCTGTTGATTTAGAAGTAATATTGTAGAACATTTAGCCATAATGTATTTCAATGTGATACCTCAATATGTCAAGAGGAAAAATTTGTTGAAAAGATAAAGTTATTCATTAGATGCCTACTAAATTTGTAAAAAATATTTTACCTTCATAATTAAATTTTAATTGTCTATTTAATTGTAGTAAAATGTGTTTTGTAACTAAAAGTAGTTAAGATAATGTTTAATTACTTCAAGATAATTATGTGCAAAAAGGTGATGATTTGTAGGCTATCTTGGGTTAAGTATGTAATTACATTATGCTGAAATTTAGAAATAAGTTTTTCCCCCAAATGGTAAGAATCATTAGCATCAATGGAAACTCACGAGAGTAAGACTGTAATAAAATTAAACAATTTGTAAGATATTACAATCTTCCTATTTAGAAATAGAATACATTTGAGGAGATACCAGGTTTTCTTAAAGTAGCCATTTATACAAATTTTATTTTCTACTGATGATTCTATTTGTTCTATTCAAATAACATTTAATAATAGATTACTTTAAATATTGTTTTTTTCTCCTTCCAGATAGTTAAGTTCGAGGTCACAATGGTTCCACTAGTGTTTCTCTTTTTAGCTCCCAGTCTCACTTGGTTCATTGACCTTTGGACAGCTCCGACTGCAGCCCTCACCTTTTCTGTTTGTTTTTTTGTTTTTCTCCAGCCATCACTCCAGCAAGCAATAAGGGGGTTGGGGGTGGAAAATACCTATGCAGTTCCATTTTAACTTGAAAATGCACACTTTTTCCTACTGTTATGTCTTTAAAAATCGGACAAGGGGGAAATCCT